TAAAAAAAAAATGCCACTCCCACTGTGAAAGTCCCAAAGTATCRGGTTACATCTGGACAAGAGGACCATAAACTGATCTGTGGCCCCAAACCCAAGTGGCAGTGACTGACTCGCATCCATATGGCCTCAGGATACCTTTCCTCATGGAAGATTTGTCTGGAATGAGCAGGGACCTATGGAACGACTCGACGCCTTTGCTAGTGCTTTTCTGCAAGCAAAAGAGCAGTGGCTAATCAGAGAGGAAAAGCAGAATTTTTGTGACAGCATTTAATTAGTTGCAGTTAAATTCTAGTGTTAGCATATGATCCAGTCTTGGTGCTGAGCTTTGTGTTTGGGCAGGTGTATCATTATTCCATCCTTTCTCAATCCCAAGGCTTCCTGGAAGAAGCTCAGAGCAGGGCCGGTTTCAAAGTTGGACTGTGGTATGGCAGGGCCTTTCCTGGATGAGCTTTGAAAAATATCTGTTTCAGTGCTTTGTGACCCAAAATTTCTGGACCAGAGGCCCCCCCTTAACCTCTTCTTCATTGTGTACTTTAGCCCCAAAATYATCTTAGATACTCTTCAATGCCCTATCTTGTCCTTGACAGTATTTCACCTAAACTGAGGGCCAAAATTAGGCATGGCATCCTGTTGTGGTCTCAAGTGCTGAATAGAGAGGAGAGTAATCCCTTCAGCCTGCTGGCTAGAATGCAACTGGATGTGCAGATGTCTTGAAGAACTTTAGCAGACAAGCTTTATAGTTTTGCTATTTGATAGTGATGTCTAGACTTTGCATTGGCRAGATCATGAGAGCTACAGAGAGAAGACAGAAGGCAGATGTATCCTGTCTCACAATATTGTCATAGCTGAATATTGTCAGTATTTTCAAAACTGAGCAAATTCATTCGGGTTGGCCAGTAGTAGTAAGCTTATTGTGAGGAACACCATTGCAGCAGCACATTGTCGTTAAGAGTAGCCTTTGCCTTGATCAGCTTAAATGATACTGTAAGTCGGGCTCCTCTGAATTGCCATTTTGGAAGACCTGTCTCTCCCAGTTGATTATATGGGGAGACTGGGAAGCTGAGTCTTCTGACTCCTGAAGCTGAAGTGAGGTGGTGTGAACATGCCCTAGGGAGCCCAATTGCTAAAGCTTTGTTGAAAGAGAGAAGAAAGACCACTTCCCCACCATTGATGTGGTAAGGGCTTCCCAAAACACTGAATTGTGGCTCTGTCAATGACGCACTGATTGCTATCTGAAAGCCAGTCTACTGGGATATGAATGAGGACTATTTTGTTCTTCAATTCGTAAATTAGTGCATCTGAGTAGCCAGGGCCTGTGCATGAGAGAAAGAACCGTTCAAGTAGTGAGAAACTAAGTCTTTCTCATCTTTGCGTCTTTTGTACATTGGCCATGTATGACTGGCCTGCTCATTTTTACAAACCAGATGTAAGCGTGAGAAATATGAACATCTCTTATCAGGGTGCCTGTTTAAGACATCTGGAAGTCAGGTGACCCTTTTTTCCTGGAAGAGGCTGTGATGCTGGTCTGAGTTTGCATTTAAGATTCCTTGCATGATGTACTAATACAGGAGCTCTCTATGTAGTGTGATAATAACTTCAAAACAGAGATTTTGGTGATAAATAAAAACAACAAAAACAACATGGCAAAATGTTTCATGGAATCTATAAACCAAAGCAATCTAGACACCACCTATAGCACTGCAATGATTTTAGAAACACCATTGCTAGCTTCCACTGCTTCCAGTTTTGCTTTATCCTTTCAAAGTTCAAGTTTCCGTGTTTTTTAAAAAAGTTGTTGGCTCTTAAATTTTCTACTTGACATTTTCTCTACACAAAAAGGATTTTTTGCATTGTTTCTGGAAGCACTTTGAACAAGGGAAATAGGSCAAGACATTCAAAAGTTAAATTAAAATCCAACTCTGCAAATAACTACTATCACTTAGGTGATTAACTTCACTCTCCAATAAAGGAAATGAGAAGAAAGTGCAGAATTGTATCAGTCAGAAGTGCAAGAGAAAGGCTAAAAACAGATAGACCTAATCTAGGGTTGGCAAGGGTGACTTTTAGAAAAGATATTGGATATTTGGGTTCAAAATTGTTGATAACTATAGAAGAATTGCTGACACTATGGCTTAAGAACAGGACATTGCTAAGCTTGCTCTACACTGCTGGTTATGAGCTCAGTAAAGCATTGAGCTAGGTAAGAACAGGATTTACAGGTAGGTGATCTGTAGCAGTCATTTTGAAAAGCTTTAATCATGGGATGTCGTTGGTGGTGGGAATTTCTTTGTGCACCTATGGATTAAAGAAAGTATGATATGTCTAAAATGGAGAGGGTACTAAACAAGCCTCATGGTATAGATAATCCTTTCTTGCTTGGAGTTGTTACTGATGCTGATCAAAACAGCCGTGCTGGTCTCCTCTTCAAAAGTGTCTACATAGTGAAAACAAAACACATGAAATGTAATCCCAAGTGACATGTTTGCCTTTGCATCTGTGCCCACATCTTCTGTGACCAAAATTTTAAACATTCTTTCCTCTTGCGAAGCTGTTGCAGTGAAAGCCTTTCCACTTTATATCCCCTTTTTTTCAGTAAAAACAAGAGAGAGTCATTTTCCATTTCAGAATGCAAGATGTAATATCTCTGGAGATTAACCTCCTTTCCAGAGTTGTTTATGTGGTTGAAAGAATAAACCTGTTATCATTAAAAGAAAAAAAAAAAATCCTGCACCTCATTATTTCCAGAAATAATGCTGACGTAATAAGATTTGTTCAACATTGACTCTGGGTGAATTTAAGAGAAATCCAGCCCCTAAGATCTTGTGTTGTAGGAAAAAAGGAAGCAAGAGAGTAAGATGGACACYGGGAAACGTTTAGGAGGGCATTGCACTGTGATATTAATAAGAACATATGCTTTTTTTATGTGAAGGTTGTTATATCACCAGGCAGCAGCTCCTACAGGCAGATGGCTTTCTCCCATGTGCACTATCCGGGATGCAGAATTTCTGTGTGACTTTTCTTCCAACTCATTCTCTATCCTTTCCTGCTCCTCTGTGGGGTTTTGGGGAGTTGTTGTTTATTTTTTTTTTTTTTTTTTAACTTGGGGTCATCAACAATTTTTTTTCTTGATGTCTGCACAGGGCATCTACTTTGAAGACAACTTCTCACCTTTTAGTTACTACAGGAATGTGAGGAATGAAGCCCAGTGGCCCCCAGCATACCAAGCCRACAGACTGTGTTTGTACATGCAGTAGAGAAAAAGCAAGGTGCCTACAGTCTCTGGGAACAGCTTCCCAGGCCACGAGTGCTGTTTTCCTGGGCAGCCAAGGAGTGATGGCTGTGGTGTGTTTGGAAAGAGAGAAAGATTTAAAGTTTGCATCAGGGCATTTCAATGTCACGGCCTTCTGTTCCCCAAAAAGTGCTTGTTGCTAGTGCTAGCAGTCATGTAAAGGAATAGCTGTGAGTTTTGACTTGCCATGTCAAATTTCATCTTGTTTTGGTGATAAATTTCTCTTGAAAATGTTAATTTTTGAAACAGATCTGCGAATAAACTGGCAACGAAAATCAGTTGCTGATATCACTGTTTTGGCTTTGGGATAGTTACAAGGGCCGGTAGGGTGCCTGGGGCAACAAGAGGTATTATTCCTGCTACTACGAAGCAATGTTGCTGTGTTCGTATTTCCTCTGTCAACGATGATGCCACTGCACTGTAGAGAGCATGTGGGTGTCCAACAAGTTGGTTAAGATGAAAATACTTGSGTGAATCTGTCTCCAGCAAGATGCCTATGGCCTCTCTTGATGGTATGGACAATATGTCGTGCCTCAGCCGTTCTTGGTCACCTCAGCCATACTGAGTGTTAGAGCTCAAGCCACAGATTGTAGTGAGTTTATGCTTGCATCTTGTGGGCTCAGACACGTGCCAAGGCCTGGGCATCTGTGAGAACAAGGAGCATCTTAAACCACTCAGATTGCTGGGAGCATATGGGATTCCTACAATGACACTTGAGTTGTGTGTTCATATCCCAGAGGAGCTAATCCAGTTTTCATGTCCACAGAGGTCTTGAGTAGTTAGAGAGAGAGGAATTACTAGCACCCAGAGTTAGTTTTTCACAACTGAAGCAACCACCATAATCAGTGAGGATAAAGCTCATAAGACCTGAGACTCAGAATAAGACCAGTCAAATCCTGGACCCCAGSAGCAGTCCTGGCAAGGTCCATACTGATTGCAAAGGCTGTCTTTTGCCAGATGAGGGGACTGAGCACCCGCTCTAACTGAGGGATGTCCTGGTTAGCTGTGATTGGATGAGTGAACATTTTCTCAATGACCACCAAAGCTTGTTGCCCTGGAAGGCCTTGCTGACACGTCCCACATGGAGCCTGGTTTTGGCTGGTGGAATGTATAAGCCTAGTCACCCGCGCAGGTACAGCCAAGCCTACAGGAGGAGAGCCCAGACTGCTGTCTTGCTGGAGTGACAAGCCCTCCTATTGCCTCTTAGCAGCTCAAGTCACCAAATGATTTCAGAACCGTACATAGGTACAGAACTATAAAGCAATCTAAACCCAAGGCCCAATCATGATTAATTGCCTACCAGGCCCAAAAAACTCTCTCTTCTCTGGTCAGTCAGGTGTTCTGCTATTGCTTGATTTGATCAGWACTTGAGGTAAACTGCATTATGTASTAGTCATCAGTCAGGCATAACAACATTGTTTTGCCTTCATTTCTCCCTTGCAATGAGGTGAACAAATGCCTTTCAGAGCCACCTTGTTGCCAAGAAMGTGGTGAGCTTGGCTTGTGCCCTCTTGTGATATGTGCTTTTCATTTCTTGTCAAAAAAAAAAATGCAGCACTCGCTGGATTTAAACATCATCGCTGGTGTGGTAGGGAGAATCTTGCTCCTCTGCTTGTCCAAACCCTTTGGAGGATCACCCACATAATATCTCTTGAGACAGATTTCCATGWGATGAAGCTTGCACTGACCATCTGCATTTGATTCCTTGCAGAACACGGTTGGAGAGAACCGATGGCTGCAAGGGCATCTGATACAGTTGCTGATGAATTATAGTGATAAGAGCACAGCTGCAAGATGGGCGCAGAGCTGCAATATGCCCAAGGAGATCCTGCCTTATGGAGTGGCTGATGAACTGCAAAAGCTTGAGATCCAAGAAAGGTATATATATAGTTTATTTCATGACAGTTCAAAGTCAACTGCTTATCATACAAGGACTATGTATTTAAAATAGTTTTCTGTAATGCTTCTTTGGGGAGATAATTTTGCCAAAACTTTTTCCATTTCTCGATCATGTCTGTATGCTTTTTATATGTTGCATTTACTTTTCATAAACGTGGAAATGTCTTCAAAAGTTGCATTTTAATCTCACTTTAATCTTTTAATCTCACTTTGAGTATTTAGAAGCTGTATGAACGTGTTTCATGCAGTGGACAGGTATTTATACCTGCTTTGCCAGGTTGCTAGGATAAATGAGATTAAATAACATGTGTAGAACATGAARATGTGTTTATTTTATACAAGGTGATTATATTTGTCAACGGATTTTCTGTACTGCTTCCTGTACTGGTACAATGACTTTTGAGAGACTGGTGGCCAAGAAAATTATTTTAAAATTCGACAGCATTTTTTGATTATACTGATTTTCTTTGTCCTTTGACAGCCCTTCCACCATTTTTAGCTCACCCTATACTTTTCCCTCATCCAAAGCTGTCAGAAGTAATGAGCATTTTTGATATTTGGGATCAGATCCTGGAAGGGTTACATTAACTGAATTTGAGATAAAACTGTGTTTTCAGGTCCTTAAGAAGCCTTTAGTCCCTTAATTCACCTTTGTCCCCTTCTCTTYCTCAGGGTTGGTAACTCATGCAATCCCAATAAAGGAGGACCATGGTTCCTCTCTGAATTTAGGGCCCCTGAGGTTTCACATACCTGCAGCACCCAGAGTTCTTTCCCTGCGGACATACAAAAGTAGCTGTTTWAAGAAAGGTGTAGGTATGATGTTCAGTGGTATAGCACAGGAGAGAAGTCATGCAGCTGGACCCAGTTCCTGCATATAATAAGCCTGCTGTAATCGTTCAGAAAACAACCGACCTGGTGATTGCTGTGCTCTTGTGTGCTCATGAGCCAAACTCGTGCAAGACCGTAAGTCAGTGCAGTCTTTGGGCTCCAAGAAATTACACAATCACTCTGCTGTCCCACTGCAATCAAAGCAAGCAGCATTTTCCTCCACTCATTCATGAGTATGAATTAATCTAATGCTCTAATTAATTTAAAGAACTCAATGCACAGGAGAGGAMTTACACCTGAAAGGTCAATGCAAAAGCAGGAGAATGTTGGTCTGTCTCATTTTAGTGCAGCTTTGTCATTTCTTCTTATATTTTCTTAAATATGACTGCTTTCTTTTACTTTCTTTTTTTTTAATTTGGAGATTTCTATGGTCTTTCTGTTTCAAAAACAGGAGAAACAAGAGGAAGATTTGCAGGAAAAATCCTGCAAATCCTGACCTGACCGCTTCCAAGGGTTCCTTGGAACCTTGCATCCAAGGATCTACCTGACCATTTCCTGACCACTTCCAAGGGTTAATTATTTACAACTTTGTGTGAGCTGATAACTGTATCCTTAGCATCCTTCCAAGATAGCCCATGCTACTAGTAATACCAAGTAATACTAGTAATAACTTTGTATATGGAGTTCAGCCTTTCAGTGCAGGTAGAAATCTGTATCTGTCTGTAAATGGACTCTTAGGGGAAGAAGTAGAGGTAGGGACCTTCTTGGCATTGCCATTCTGCAGATCTGCTTGCCCTTCCTCTTCTGCCACCTCTGCATGGTCTGAGCCTTTCTCTTGTTACAGCAAAATATGTTTATTGCATCCACAGAATTTGGAAGTGACCTCTTATGTTCTTTGTTCAGCATTCTCCCCTTGATGTCATGCCAGAATTGTGAGCTCTAGCTTTTGGTTAGAATCTTACTCCTGCATGGTTAATATTCCTCCATAACTACTGGGTTGGAGACTCTTCTGAAAAGTGCACACCTAACACCTGAGCAATGTTACATGTGTCTCCAAGATTATCGTTAAAATTGTTGTCTTCAATGTTACAGCAAWTTTCCATCTCCTGTAACAAGTGAATCTGCAAAAACTACAGCTTTAATAGCTGAAAATTGTGTTTATGGGCCATAGATTGGACTAAAAATCTTTAGAAGGCAGATGAGAGCTTCAAGTGAATTAATATTTTCTCAGTGCTGATGATTTTGAACAGTTTGTGCATTGAGCTTCGTAGAACTGATCTTAGTGAAGATCACCTGCAGTGATTCGTGTTCAAGACCTTCAGGATATATGACATGTGTGTATTCACCATTGAAGCACTATCTGCAAAGACCCACTTCTCTCCATCTTGGAGCAGAGGAAACTCTTGTCTGTCTAGGGCATGCTCTTGCCTTGCTCTAATGCAGCTGCTCTTGTGGAAATCAGTCCTTCTCCCTCCTGAAGCTATCTCAGCTGCCTRGTGGGAGCCAGAAGGTTTTTACATGAGGTGTAATCCCACAAAACACAAAGGGATGATTAACAGGAATATGACCTAGCCACAAACTCAAGGAATCTAATGAGGTAGGAAGCAAAGAGGTCAGGAATATCTCTTCATCTGTACCCTCTAGGAAGCCTGCATCGTGTCAGGGACAGAATGAAGGCAAGACAAGTAAGATGTGTATTGCCATTCATGAGGAGTTGTGATGGATAAGTGGAAGCCTTTTGGGCCTCAGTTTATTCATCTGTTCATAATACCTCTTACAGTAGCTTCTTTAAAAGCCATGGAGCCATGAAGCTTAATGAAGCAATATTTCTGCTGTGCTACTGTTGGAGCTAACAAACCAGCAGGTTCCTGGGGAGGGTGTTCACACTGCAGAGAAACAAGGTGCTATAAGCAAATAAATGACATCATCTCTGCCACTGGTCCCACCACATGCCGCTCCTGAACTCTGCAGATGAGAACAATCTTGGAGACATGAGACTTCACACCTTTATTAAATATTTTACACAAATATTGACTTCTCCATGCACACATACCCCTGGAAAAGAGTGTTTGTACAGGAGAAGYTGCTCTGCTGCAAAATTAGTTACACAGTCCCCTAAACATGAGGTTGGTAAATGTTTTCTCAAATAATAAACCATTTTGAGTCTCTATGGGAAAGAGACTATCTAGAAGTTCATGATATGTCCAAAATAGCTGGATATTTTTTATTAGTCTCTTTCCTCTGATTGCATCATCTGGCTGGGACACCATAGCAATGTGCTGACCTTCCAGTTACAGGGCCCTTTCAAGAGACTCTGCTGCATTTTGAAAAGAGAATGTGCTATGTAAGATCCTGTCATAGGAAACCAGTTAGCTCGTTTTGCCAGGCACCTTACCAACATTCCCAGTGTTGTAATTACACAGATCCGAAGCTATTCTATATGGTTTCATTTGATGCCCAAATGGAGTAGCACAGGCCTGGCACTCCGTCTAAACTCTGCCCCTAAATATAGAAGATTTTGAAACATTGCTTCTGAACTTTCCTCATTTCTTTCCCATGCAACACAGGATAAATGTTCTTGCATAGTTTGGGGGACATTGTACAGGGAAGAGGATGGGCCAGAAGAAGCTGGGTAGCAGCAAGGAGATCTTGTATCCTTCCCAAGGCTTCACAGTGTAAATTCATGAGAGAGACTCTTGTCCATTCCGATCTCGTAGTGATCTAAGTGTGGAGCAATGTGAGATTCTCTTTTTGAGATGGTTTCTGTCCTAGGGGAACATGAAGCTCCTGTGTGGACACCTAGTTGATCTAAGATGATTTCTTTTTTATAGATTGCCCTGTGGGAGCTATCAGACTTCTCTGTTAACTTCAGGGGCTTCAGTAGTGAATTGAAATTGTAAAATCTTTGAATCTGGAAACATCTGCCCAACTTTGTCGTCTATCAAGTTGCATCAATTCTGGGAAAGAGGACAGAACACTGAGGACAGAGCCTGGGAGCTGTGTTATAGCATAATGTCTGGTCTGGCTGTTCTCTGCAATGGGTGCAATGCATGTGCATGGTGAGGTCTCGAATGCAGTGCCGTTTTTGCTGTATAAAATGAAAGGAGTGTTTGAACCAAGATGAAGGAAATAGATATAGAAGGAAATGAAAAAAAGGGAAGTTAAAAAAAAATATATTACATGGAAAGTAGTGGGTCATGAGTAAAATGAGGGACTTAAGACTCCTGATGTTCCTCCAAGCTAGGAATTCCCCTCATGGCATGCTTAAAAGCTGTGGGATCTGGTTCTGCAGGGTGGAAGAAACTGAGAAAGCAGAGAATTACGAAGAGGTTAAGAAGAAGAAGAAGAAGGATTATTACCAGTTACCTATTCCATGGGCAAATATTCACTTTCTGCAGACCATGGAAGAGTTGCTACCATGCTGGGAAAAGGTGCTGAAGGTCAGTCTTATCCTGGTATTTCCTTTGCAGGTTTGAAGAGCAGAAGCCTTAAAGCAGACTGCTGTGTGGGGTTATGTGTGAGTGCCACTTCTATCAAATGTCTCTCTCTCCARCTTAGGGGAAACTACTGTGAGGGAGCAAGGTCTAAAGGCTTGTCTAATTGGGGAACAGATTGGAAATTACTGCACCAGGAAGTCCTCAGAGGGGTAACTCTGGTGTGCTCTGAAAGTCTCTTTAATCTGTAGTAGCTCACGCATCAATAATGTCATTTGAAAGGAAACATTAGTGTTTGGGAGTAGTACCCCCGGGACAGCGCTTGTTTCTCAAGAGCTGGTCCATACCAACCAAGTGTAGATAATCTGGAAATGAAGAAGACCTGTCTGTGTTTCAGCCAGGACAGGTGGTGGGCATTGACATGGAATGGAGGCCTTCATTCGGCATTGTTGGGAAGCCACGTGTCTCCCTCCTGCAAATCGCTGTGGATGAGGAGGTGTTCCTGCTGGACTTGCCACAGCTCCTTGAGAAAACTGAGAGGGAGAATGAGAAGGAGAAGATTTCCCAGTTCCTCCAAAGGCTCTATTCGGATCCAAGCATCACTAAACTTGGTAACTTGCTTCTCTTCTCCCCTGTTTGTGTCTTTGAAAGAGGTCAACCTCTCCTACTATCTGAAATTCCTAAACCATGTTAGCATCGTCAGCTTTTGTAGGACTGGGTATTCAAAGATTGATATATCAGAAAGCAGGATGAATGGCATACCTGGGAATGACAGAAATGTCCTCATTTCAGGTCAGAGGTTTTCGAGTTAGCCTGATCCTCTTGGGCTTAGGATTGTCTTTGTTAGCTCTGTACCAAGTCCTGACTTACACTCAGCCTTGAGTGGACTATGCAAGTCTGCCATCCAACTTTTTGGATTTGCTTGCCCTCTCCTGAAGCTACCCCTACCCTGATAGACACCAGACCTCTGTTGTTTAGCATTACTGGATTTAGATTCTGTTCAGACGTTTTGGGGAAGTGTTAAAGCTTGGTTCCATGGCATATAATTCTCCAGTGCAAACCGTTGGAAGCTAAAAACTTCTCATGGAGCTGATCTGTTAGCCTTTCACTAATCTAGCAGATTTTAAGTCAGTTGAGAAATGTAACTTTAGAAGCTATACAAAAATACGCAGCACACATTTTCCATCCACCTTTACACTCCCAATCTTGACCTGTAAGAGTAAATCTTTGAAGCAGGAGAGGTAGGAGACTGCCTTTCTCCCTACTTTGAACAGTCTTTCCACCAAACTTTGTAAATATATTGTGAGCATTTTGACAAGGAAGAACTGCAGTGAATTAGCCATGATTTGAGCTTTACTAGCTGTTTGATTTGTGGCTTGTTTTTCCAGGTTATGGGATGTCTGGAGACCTTAACAGCCTTGCAGCCACATGCTCTGCTTTGAAAGATGTGGATAAGCAAGCTCAAGGTGTAGTGGATCTACTCACAGTAGACAAACAAGTAAGGATGGACTTTCAAGATAACAAAAATAATTTCTTTTGCCTTTGCTGTAGATAATTGCCATGATTTCACAACATTTCTCTTTCTATATCCTGTATTGGCAGGGAAATGGCTCAGTGAATTAGTAGAACTTTTTCCCCTTCTGGTTTCATGGATGGTGTGACTATAAAGAAAAAAGAATTTTGTTTTTGTCAACTAGAAAGTCAGTGCTTGATATTCTCCTAACTTTTTTATAGCCTGAATGAAAGCTATGATGAAGCAGTTGAATGGAGACATGGTTTTGTTTGCTTAGAAAGAAGTTGCTTGTTGAAGTTCTGATATTCCAACCTCCTTGGTACCAAAGCAGTTGAGCCATTGATTTGCAGAGAAGCCACAGTGTTTCAGGAAGGTTTTAGATGGATGCAGAACCAGAATTTCTGTTAGATTGAAATGAAGCTTGTTTCTGGGTTAGAACTCAATAATTTTTAGCTGTCTTTAGAAATGAYAAGGAAAAAACATTTCAACTAGTAACATTTGTAGTTGGTTTAAGGCTGTGGGATTTGGATCAATACTGATCCACAGGACTGAGAGTTTAACCTGAGCAGTGCTGTGGAGTATGAAGTACACACCAGCAGCCCCTGCYTGTTTTATCCGAGCCATAGAAACTTGCCTCCTGGACAGTCCTCTCTCTGGACTCATGAAGGAAGAGAGACTAAACTGCTRCTGCTGTGTTATTTTGATGTCTCTGGCAGCCTGCAGTGTGACTGAGCACCCTGCATATCTGAGAAGTCCCAGTTGCAGCCCCAGTGCTGTGATGCAATGCTGTCAGAGAACATGATTGGTCTCCTTGCCTGGTTATGAAACAGATTTCATTCCAGCAAGGGTGTTTGTTAAACAGATAACCAGATCTGCCTATATATCTAATGGCACCCCAGCCCTTGTTTGAGACAACGTGCCATGCAAGAGATAGAGGTGGTAGGGCTGCTGTGTGCCAAAGTTGTTTTATAAGCATATGTTTTACATCTTTCTCCTGTTTTCAGTTGCAGAAGAGCTCCATTGACTGGAAGAAGGGTGGCCGGAAGGTCGATGTACTGGCCCCAGAGCCCAGCTGCGAGAACAGAGCGTTCAGGCAACCGGAAAGAGGACTCAGCCTGTTGGTGCAACATGTACTGGGGAAGCCTCTAGATAAAACAGAGCAGCTGTCTAACTGGGAGAAACGGCCGCTCCGTGAGGAACAGATCCTCTACGCAGGTGTGGTCGCTACCTCCATGGCAAGGTGCTCCAGAGAGTCCATTACAGRCCACGTTTGTTGGCTGTCCCTGGAAGAATTGTTAGATAGCAAACAGAGAAAATGGCTTTGCTTATTAGATCCTGTTCAGAGAAGCCAGTGCATAATATTTGCCCTTTTTGCAAATGTGGCTTTAATGGTTGAAATTTAAACTGTCCAGTGATTCATTATTGCCTTTATGAAAGAATTCCTGTGCTTGGCTGATTCTTTCTGATGAAACCGCATCTCAGTGGAAATTCCTCTCCATAACTGAAAAGGAAGAAAGTCCACTTCCTTCTGCCTCATTTCACCACACAGCCTTGCTCAGAAACAACTATTGTGTTCGTTTGTCATAGTGAAGTGCTTGTTAGAGCAGGGTTAAAAGTGGGTAGAACTGGTATCAGAGACTCCAACACAGAGTCAGTACGGCGGAAGGAGCAGTGGAGGTTACTGTTGATTACCCCCGAGTCAGAAGTCTGGCTCTAAATATTTTCCTGAGGCATCAAAGGCCAGTCTGCTGAAGCGAACCAGCCCTTTGTTAAATTCAGCTATCCTTGAAGTTGACACAGTTCCCACAAAAAGTTAATCACCAGGACCTGTAAAACTGGCTTGGAAACTTAGCTGGTTTCCGTTGCAAGGAACAGAGGCCACACAGCAGTGTGTGTGGGCAGGTGATTGCAAAAACTCAGTTATTACGTTTTAAGATACCGCATCTAATATGGAAGTTACCTTCCCAGAGCTGTGAAGCGGTAATAAACCATGGGAGCAAGCTGCTACTCCATAACAATGTAAGTGAAATGGGGTAGCTAAAGCTACTCTGTGAGGCAGTTTAAACAGGTCTGCTTTAATTTGCATCACATTAGGGCTCAGCGACTATGTCTCAGCAGAGGCCCTGACGTCTCAGCAGAGGCCCTGACGTCTCAGTGGAGGCCCCATTGCTTTTTTCAACTACTCTGCCTCAACTCTTTGTGTTCATGTGTTTCTGCCCAGCAAGGAGAAAAATCTTGGCATCAATAGCAGCCTCTTTATGCTAGACTGAGGTTGGTGCTCTCTGTCTTAATTACCTGGAGGCAAAATGTCTTGTGTGTTGCTCTGAGCTGGGGAAATGATTAGGTACTGAAAAGTAAAAGAGCCGAGGATAAGTTGCATCTTCACACAATATTGGTATTCAGGCATTATATTTTGTAGCATTTGCAAAGGTGAAGGCTCTTCCTTACAACAATAAAAAAAAAACACTATTTCTCGTTTGGATGAAACTCTCTGATGATCCTGTTCTGTTCTTTTAGCTTCGGATGCATACTGCTTGYTGGAGGTCTACGGGAAGCTGTGCAAGGATCCAGTGAGCTTTGGTCTAAGTTCAGACCTGACTGCGAGTCTGGTGGGAAAACCAAGCATAAAATCCARGGCAAAGAAGCAGCTGAATAAACAAGAAGTACCAGCATCTGCTGGACAGGTTTGTAAATGTCTTCAAAGATCTTTGTGTTGCTTGAGACCCCTTCAAACATTAGCTTGTCTTTCAGTGTTGCTGTTAGCTCTGCCTGATATGCCTGTTTGTAGTCCATTCTCAGAACTATTGCAGCATCTTCCTCATGCCAACCTTCCACTGGTAAGATACAGTTTCCCCTTTGAGTGCCTCATTTCAGTATTTCCTGCATTGTAGGTTCATTTTCTCTCCTGGAAGAACAATGCTACAAATCTGTGTTAAAATCCAGTTAAACTTGTTGGCAGAAGCACTGCTTTCATGTTTCCTCATAGTTTCCTCATGCATTTTGAACTCCATGGCCTAGGTGTTGCATTAGTTAAGTTTCAAAACTCTAGTCTCTTTTACTTTTAATGAAGCTTCCACATACTTGATCCGCATTGGGAATGCCTCCTTTATTGCAGTGGGAGGAAAAGTCTGCAAAAGTGAAAGGACAGTTTATCTCTACCTCCCTGCCTACCACTGTATCCTCCATGACTGTCCTCTTCCAGTGACTTATGTTGTGGAAAAGCCTTAAAGTCCAGCTGGTGATAGGTTGGTGACTGCTTAAATATCTTCCATTATGACTGATCCCTTTCTCTGAGTGATAAAGAAGGTAAATATTTTACTTTTGAAATGCAGCTATCCAGCTATTTGTGCACCTATGAAAACAATAGTGGAAAACTGGCTTTGTTGATTAACTGGCCAGGCTATTTATGACTGCATATCTTTCAAAGAAGCCTCAAAGGTGTATGTAGCTCCTGGTGTCAGTAGTACCTTCCATGGCTGTAGTGAGATGCTATTGATGGTAGCTTCCTTTTRGGGATCCTCCTATCAAGTTTATGTAAATGTACTCTAGCACTCCGTGTGTATGGGAATGTTGCAGGTTACAACATAGGTTGCAACACATTTGACTGGCTGCTGCAGAGATGGGAAAAGTAAGTACTTGAGGCTTGAATTAACCTGGTAAGCTCATGGGTCATTGTTGTGTTCTGTACAGTCAAATTCATTAGCTGAGAGGTAGGTAGTAAAACCTGGACTGGGGCTCAAAAAAAGAAGTTCTCTGCCTAACTCTGCTTCATGCATAACTCCAGTCCCTTTCTCTGTGTTTCCWAGTCCACTCTGTGATGTGGGGCTAACGACACTGTCCTCCTCCAGAAGCCCTCTGAGCTCCACTGACATGAAGCATGAGAAAAAAATATAGATATGAAATTGCTGATCACTGCATAATGACCAGTTAAGAGCCAGATGCTGCCCCTTTATGTCTGCTTGAGCAGAAGCAACAACAAAGGGTCAGTGTCTTCTCACTGTCTCAGTAATGAAGAATCAGCTCGCTCCGTTATCATGCACTCTGTCTCAGGGAATGTCTGCGTCTTCTAAGGTCCTTCTGGAGTGAGTGATGGTTCATTTAGTCCATGYAGTGCTGCAGAGCTCTGAGTGCATGTACCAGCTTCCAGGAGATGCCAAATCACACAAATGCATCTGTGATGCTCACAGACCTGAGCAAGTCCATGCACTCAGCAGGGGGGTATCTGCATTGTGCCTCCCAGCACTTCCAGGCCAGAGTTAGCTCCTGTGTTGATGATGGCAGTGTCGTTCTGTCATTCTAGCTGATACAAGTTCTCAGAGGTAAAGCTCAACATTAGAGGCTCCTTTCTCCAAAAATTTAGCCATTGTGCTTCTAGGATTCTTCCAAAGACAAACTATCCAACTGCAGGAACTTCCTCAGCAGCAGACATTTGAAATAAAATAAACAGATTTCAGGCACTATCTGTTTTTAAACTTCCAGAGATAACAAGGCTGACGTGACTGCCTTGTCTACCTGTTTCTCTTTCTATCTGACAGATCTTCTTCCCTAGCAATAACTTAGATCATTTGAGCCTAGTTTGACAAGAGTATAGTAGTCTTGAAGATGATTTTCTGTGACTTCATGAAAATTGATGTCTAAGTAGAGCAGGGAAGGCCAAATTAGCATTTCTCTAGGGAAAGCCTGCAATCATGTTCTGTGTGACTAGTTAATCAATGTCAGTTGGCTAACAAGCAAATGATYAGCTCAGAATTAGCCCTGTCATGCYCAATTTGTGGATTTGGGCACCTCCTGCCCAAATTGTGGATGGTTGAGYGGTGGAAGAGTCTAGGGGACATGAAGAGGAATGCAAAGGTTTTTCAGAGGYGGAAATTGTGATGCAAGTGGTAGAGGGCACTTGAGTTTGTCCCAGTGGGTGAATGCAGGGAGGCAAAATAGGAATATGTTGGAAATCAGCCATCTATTCTGTTGATCTATGGTTTTTCTCTAGCAGTGCAAAAGATTTGTCAAGGAAGCTTCGTGGCCTGCCGATCCCATCTCTCCGAAGGAGTTCAGCGTGGTCTGTGATAACATGTTGCAAGGCCTTGGGCGCTATCTTCGCTGCCTTGGTGTAGATGTCCGGATTCTGGAGAACGAAGATGACCATAGGAAAGCTGCTGAGGTTAGTCACATGTGTGTGTTTGTAACTGCTATCTGTGTTCCTTGGAGAAGGCCTGCAGCTTCAGGAATGACTGCACTGGTTAGTTATTCACAGTGAAGGCAGCACTGACAKCAGGTTGATAGGACATGCCCAGCACATGATTCTTCCTGAGCCCTTGCCTAAACCCCCTTTGCATGTGTAATGTGGCAGCTGTTGTTTCATAGTCCCCACATTAGTGTTGCACTTTGGCATTCTATTTCCACAGAGAAAAGGTGAACAAACCTCACTTTGCATAGAGTGCCATGATCTCGTCTTATTTGTCCCTATTTGCTTTTGTCATTTTAAGTCAATAAAGAATATAAATGCTAGAGGTGTGACCTGTGGTCTCCAGTGTCTTGAATGAGGTGTTGGTGCACTTGAACAAAATAACAGAAAAAGGAACCAAAACTTATTTTGATTTCTAATGGTCTCCAGTTTGGGCTTACCATGATGCTTTGTGCCTCTCTTTTACTGGGCCAGTACTGTCCAGCCGAAACAGAATCAAAGAGCAGCTGTGCAGCATGGAAGGGAAAATTGCCATAATAAATTACTAGGTGACTTCTGAGCTGGCTACCACCTTGCGAGATGACTCAACTGCAAATTGCAGTGAAAGGCTTGGGAAAGGAAAACTCTAACAAACGTGGGAACAACTAACACTGATATGGACTCCCATAACCATTTTGACCCACTGCATGTCAGTGGGGAGAGACACGTGCATCTTCATTTCAGATATATTTCTGCTATTCCAGAAATGGAGATATCCAGGCCATGCAGTGTGTTGCTATTGAGCATGCACTGATGACCCAGCCTGACGTGCAGGATGTTTCCTCTTCAGACGTCTGCCTGGCCTGAATCCTCGGCAGGCTCTAGCTTCTGCAGAAATAATTAGYATCTCAACTCTGCCAAACTTGGACAAGTCCTTCAAACAAACTAGCTCTCACTGCCTCCTCCAGAGCTCCGTCTCCTCTTCTCATCCTGATACCCTATCGTGCTATGAACAGGATGTTTTACATTGCACTCTCTGTGGTGACCGGACAACATGCTTTCMCCATCAAAAACTCTTGGAGTGGTACTGTATTGGAGAGCCTTTGATCTGGGCTTAGATAATCAAAGATAAAAATGGACCACTTCCGCCCTGCTTTATATCTGACAATTCCTGATTTAATAAAAGTTGGATGTTAACCACGGTATACCAGAAAACCAGCAAATGGTTTTGCAAGGGGCAGGGAAAAGATTCCTATCTTGGTCCCCAAGCACAGGACAGGCAGTTCTGATGTTGTCCCAAAGCAATCTCAGACTAACGTCACCTCACCAGGAACGTATGTACATCTGCAAAGGAGAAGTTTGTTCTTCATTACTGTAATTTCACTGAAATGATTTATCACTGATATCACATGGCTCCTTGGGCCAAGAACTCCTGAATACGCTGGCTTTTCTTCCTTGTTCTCATTCCTGGCTGCTGTTAAAGGAATTTCAGGTATTGGAAKGTAGATGGAGCATATGATTCAACCTATAAAGATAAATGAAAAGCTTGAGAGCTGTGTAAGTTGTGCTTGCACAGCCATGGTTTGCTTTTCCTCTATAATTTCTTCAACTAGTGTGTTTGGCAGTAAAAGGAGTAATGATCATGTGCAGGTTTGAGGAATCCCATTCCCAAGCTAAACTTGAAACCTGTCTGATGTACTGCTTCATGYTGTGTTGTTGTCGATGCAAAAACATCTTTCTAGGATGACATTTGACATGGCAAATTTATCCTACCATTGCACAGTGCAATTTATCGTGCACTAATTTCTTTGGGAAGAGCGGTTCTGTGTCCAAACGTGGCCCCCATGTTATTTTCCAGGTCTTCTGATTCTGTGGGGTGGCAGTAATATTTGTACCACATATTACATTTAGATCACAGCTGCTACAGTGCAGTGCACAGAGTTGTTTGGCTAAGCAGCTGTCTAGCTGAGGGTAAATGATTGCTCCAGGAATGCTGGACTAGCTCCTTCACCAGAATTAGAACAGCCTGTGAACTGAGAGGTGGATTGTTTTTCTTTTTCTTTTTCTTTTTTTTTTCTTTGTCATGTCTTTTCTCTAAATCATATCCCCTAGGCTGGCCACACTACTCAAGTCCTGTTTCTTCAACAGTGCTTTTGCTAATGGCCCAACCTGGAGCCTCCCTCTGTAAGTCTGGCTCCCTGCTCTTTGGTAAATAAGGCAGTTTCTCTTGAGAAGGGCTGTATGTGTCCGGCTCTTCTTTACCAGGGGCTTCTGACTGCAGCCCATGTGGGGTTATTTCCACTCCCCATGGGCTTCTGTTCTTGTATTGAGAACATAGAGTGTCTCTCTCAGGCAGTATCCTTACATGTTTGTAGTTACTGATAAACTTGGCCCGGTCGGGAGAAGCCACCCTTTTTCTTTACTTCAATTGTGTTGTATGCCTGTTGTGTTTCCAGACTCATTTGTCAGCTTGTCTTCTGCAAATTTCTCTTTGTAGAGAATCTTAAACCTATCTTGGATTTTTTTTTAATGGCCTGAGTTCTTCAACTTCAAAACCATCATCATCTATTTGCCTTCATGTTAAGGCAAACCTATCTTTTGAAGTGTGATAACATCCAAAAGGCTGGTAGAACTGGCCTCCTACAGCTCTCATGGTGCTGAAGGTTCCTTTGTAAGGTTATTGCTACTCCCCCAAAATTTCAAATCGACCAGTAAGTTGGAGGGAAGGACCAGATTTAGATGGATCTCAGGAGCCAGCTAAGGCAATGTGTGTCTGCAACTAAATTGCGCCTTGATTAGATTGGATCAATGAGACACAAAGGGGACTTCTGATACTGTAGCGAACAGAGCTTCATGTGGTGGGAAAATCTGATCTGCGATCTCATCTTCGCTTTGAATGTCTTTTTTCAAGGTTTTGATGTAAAACATTCCTTCAGTTTGCCAGTCCCTTTACCTCCCCACCAGTCTGCAAATAAAGGCAGTGCAGATACAGAGAACTGAAAATGTGTCTTTAAGACTTAGCTCTCTATGTTTGGCCAACAGAAGGGTTTTTTTTCCCTTTGGAGATCTTGATGCAAACAGGTCTACATTAAGTAGCAACACTAGTTCAGTGGTTCTGGTCTGATACTTACAGCCATTTTACCAAATTGTGCCATGACTTTGTGCAATGTATGATTTTCACAAATGCTAAAGAGAAGTCTAGCTTTAAAATACCGGGAATACAGCAAATACAGGAGTCTGGACAAAGTGCAGTCATAAGTAATGAAACCTCTGAGTTGTTACTATCTGGACCACTGCATTTTTACAGGAGTTGAGATAGTAGCTGGGGAATTGCAAGGCTTGTGATCTACTTTTCTAGTAGACTCTACCTGGGTGTTTTCCAGCACACAGCCTGGAGAAAATGCTCTCTGCCCGCTTTCTTTTTGTTTAAATGTGTCCTTGCTGGCTCGGGATCATTCCTGAACCTTTGTGAAACCGAGGCCAGTGAGCTTTCTACACTGCTTGGGCTTGAGTCCTTGCTTCCCACCCCAGCAAGCTGCTCTAATCATTTCTTTCTTTTTAGCTGTATTTATGATCACACTRTTGCCCAGTTGTTCTTGAAGCTCGCTTACCTTTATCAAAGGGGAGAAAGGAGCTGTGCTGTTTCCCTCAGCACATGTCCTCTGCAGGTTTTWGTCAACTGTGTGCTATCACATGGCTTTTCTGGCTTTGCCTGCTTCTCCCAGTTCTTATTCCAGAGGCAGAAGATTATGCTGCAAGAATTCTTCCTCTGTTATTTAGCCTGAGATGTTCATGGCTGATACTGCTTTTCTCCTTTTTATTTGTGTTCCTTACTCATCTCTGCAGAGCCATTTGGATAAAGGGATTTATCAAGCTTTAACTAATTAACCYTGGATGCAGGGAGTCAGACTGAGTTCTCCGGCTGTGAAATCCTCTGACTTACCTATCAAGATGCCCAAGTCTTAAGGAGTTTCCGAGACCTCTTTCCTCTTGTGGCTTTTGCTACTACAGTGAAGTTTAGCTGAATCCTCATGGGGCTTCTCTTGAGGATGTGCCATGGGGTTAGTTTGTTGGCAGTTGCACATAGGGCTGTTCAGTAATGCTAAGTGCAAGGTGGGATTGCACTGAGCAAAGRCTGTCTCAGCTGCCACTTCAAGACTTCAGTTCCTTGAGATTTTTTACTTTACTTAGAGAGGGAGTTAGTCCTGAGAAAAATCCAKTGATCTGGGCTATAGGAAGGTACTTTAGAGTTTGTTACCAGTTCCCTCAGTGCTGAATTGACAGTCAGACCAGTGACCCGTCAAAAGAAAGAAGGAAAAAGGCTACCTGGAAGRTCAAGTTAGGAAGAAAATGGTTGTTGGATTTACTGAAAGGGCAGTTTGTMGCTTTAGAGCTGCTGCCTTCTCACTCTGTGTCCCCTACGTTGAATCTTAAGAGAATCTAGGAGGGAGTTTAAGAAAACTCTGTTTTCTAAAGCTTGATGTTCCATGGCTATGCTKGGTGTTGTCAAAGCTGTCTGGGAGGCACAGCAAGACACATACATCACCAGATGTATCCTGCTAGGGTTAAAGAGTGATCCAGAGAAAGCTTCTGAAACTGAACCAGAAGAGAGATGTCCATGACATGCACCTGGAAGCAGTGAAAAATGCAAGGGCTTCCAGCACAATCCAGGCCAGAGAAGAAAAGTAAATTCAAGCCTACCTTGAAGTGCCAGTCTCTTGTCAGCTCTAGCAGAGCAAAAGTATTGGTTCATGTGGGAGTCCTTTTCGTTGTAGACCTGAAAATATTTTCTTCCTAGAGGGAGGARTGGAGGGGAAAGATGTCATTTAGTCATATGAAGATCAGTCACACTCTCATCTTTGTGACGAATTGCAGTTCCAGATTTAGTATCTTCTTTTGGCCCCAAACTGTTCAAAAGTGCCTCTTACTCTGATGTGAAGGTCAGAAGCATGGGTATTGAGTCCCCTGATAGTTTTTTGCAGACCTTGTAGGAGACCTCCGGTAAAAGCACAAGATTACAAGTAAGGGGATAGCAAATGCTGATGGAGACTCTCTTTGTAGACTGGAAAGCGCACACGATTTCTGTCTACCTATTTTTGCTTTGCAGGAAAATAATATTGTGTTATCTGTAAGGTATGGAGTGAGGATCACAATGTCTGAAGCTTACAGACGCATTTAATGGTATATATTTTTGCTAGAATTACCTGCTTAAGGTCATTTTCTATTCTCCCCTGCCTGTTACTAGATGAGCAGGACTGCTTACTTCCTTGTGAGACAGATTAAGGAAACAAAAATAGCTTGGCTAAAGGAAAAATGATAAAGAAATATGGCTTTCTGATAGGATTTTTTCAAGGTGGATCCATTTCTTGGCCCGTCTGCAGTGCAGATGCACAAGTAGTTCCTCCAGCACATGTGAAGTGAGAGAGCAAATAYCTTAAGTTGCTGTTGCTGTCAAAAACATGTAGTTGAACTAGACCCAGGTGCTCTTGGCCTAGCATACATCAACACTGTAGAGAAGGACTCTGTATCACCAGTTCATGTTCTGTGTGTTTTGACTGGAAGGAAAGCTTGAATTTGCTGTTAACTTCAACTTGTGCTAATTAAGACTTTTTGCTGATTTTTTTTTCCAGATTGCCCGACAGGAGGGAAGGGTCATTTTAACCTCCGGGCTCCCATATCAGACTGTAAGTGCTTAGAGCTTCTGGCATTTCTCTGACATTGTGTCATTGCATGGTCTGGGATGTGCAGTGTAGAGAAGAGGAAAAGCCAGATGTGAGAGAACAGCTGGCTTGGCTTTTTTTGTCTTTTTTTCTTCACTGAAAACTACAAAAAAAAAAGGGTCTTGTGAGGTTTGCTCTTGTTCTGARCAGTCAAATTGAAGTTCCTTTTATGCTTGATACTTCATCAGCAGGGAGAGCAATTGACCTTCATGTCAAAAAAATCAAGCCAAAGTGTTTCTGTATGGGCTTACTGTCAAGTGAAACTCACTTCCCATGCATTTTATCACAAGGAGTCTTATTTGCTGACTGGCTCCATCCTGACAGAGCACTCTGCTATTTTCTATATTTAAAGACTTTTCTTTGGCCTCAGAAGAGAGACAAAGCACTAAGCATGGGACCGGGAAACTTGAATTTGCTCTACAGGGACACAAAAAAAACCAAAGCAAAACCCAACCTTGCCTTCAGAGCCCTTCATGAAACGTACTGCAAAGTGAAGCATTGGTGGGAATATCCTGAACCTCTCACATCAATGCCCACAGTGTCCTCATGCCTGCTGCAAGGTCTGTGCTCTCTGTTATTGCCTCATACGAGTCAGACTACGGGACTTCATTTCGAGCTATAGGTATTAGAGATCCCAACTATTCAAATAGTTAGGTGGAGCATTTGCAGAACTTGCCTTGGTAAATCCCTACTTTATAGATGAACATTCAAGAAAACTGGTCTTTTGATGAGATACTGTGAGGCAAGTGGAACCATGCCATGTTATGGGCTCCTTATCCAGGCTGTGATTGCTAGCATCTACAGCTGATGGTGCAGGTATTTCAGAGTGCAGCATAATCTTACTTGGCAAAGCTTTAACTCCAAAGCACTGCGTAGAAATTGCAAAAGGGAAATAATTGCTTCCTAGTCTGCAATATTGTCCTGGGAAGTGTCTAGTTCCCTTTGTTCCCTTGCCTTTGCATGCCTTACGTGTGGACAGAGCGGCTCTGCCAGGCTCTTTTACTTGCATTTAGCTGATCCCAGCTCGCTGTCAGTTTTTATCACATTCATAAAGTTGTCTCTGGACACTTCCCAGTACTCGTTCCCAGATACAGACTTTTGTACTAAATGTGGAACAAACAAGGAGGAAGTGTCAGCATCAGCCTCCTCAAATTCATTGGCCGTCTATGAAGTCCAGGTAAAAAAAAAAAAAAGTATAAAACAGAAGGGGTGACGTAGTAAAACTGTCATTAGACACCGTCTCCGTGAGTGTGCTTTTGCAAACTGTGTGATCTGGCCAGGTTTCATGTGAAAGCTGTGATTAAATTCAGTTTCCTCTTGCTATCACTGTCAGCACCATGCCACTGAACAGTAAGTTAAAGGGAACTTAGGCTGTCATATAGGATATATTGAACACTGCTTCAGTAGYGTCAAAGCTGTTTGCAATTGAGGCAAAGTGTTAAGTTACCTGCTGTGCTTGATAGGTCAAAATTTGGACTGTAAGTACCCATTAAATCCTAATGTTACTTGTTACTGAAAGCAAACCAAGTGTGTTAGGAAAAACAGAACAAAATCAAAACCTATCATAGTGCATGGAGTGCCTCATTTTTTATGTTTTTGTTTATGATTTGTCTTTTGAAGCTGCAGTCCCAGGTAGGAGAAGGAAGGTGTTTCTCCGTGAACTGCTCAGAGAAGGCAAAAGAACAGGCCGTGCAGGTTCTGAAGCATTTCAATGTTCAAGTAACCTTGGCGGATATCTTCAGTCGCTGCCAGGTAGGACTAGCCTTTGCTGTTTTAAAGCCAGTGCTCACTAGCTGTTCCTTGCGCAAGAGACACCATTTCAGATTTTGAGGTTTGGCATTCAGTGGCTGGCACAAATCTTGGTTGCCAAGATTTGTGCTTGGACTTTGGCAAAGTCTTGCAAAGGTGTGAGGGGTTTCTGAGTCCGTGAATATTGTTCATGAGTGCTGGTGACTAAGTCAAACAGAGCAGGCACTGCRTGTGCAACTTGCTGGAAACTGTTGGTTTTCAGATTTGGGATATTTGGCATGTTGTTTTTGGCATTGATTATCATGATTATGTTCTTTTGGTTCCTGAGTTCTCTGTCTATGACCTATAGTGTTTTAATTATAAACCATGTTTAATTATGGTTTTGTGATTCTGATCACAATTATTTTAATGGGATTTTTTTTTCAGGGTCTTCCATTTTTAAGGAGCTATTTGGTTAATTCATGTCCATGCTAGCTGAGGATTTCAGATGGTGTTTGGCATTGGGTATCAGTGGATTGTTTTTTAAGACAAAGTCTTCCTTATGTTAGCTCAAATCTGTACCATCTCTTCCAGTTTCACTGTTATATGTGTTAATAGTAACATGCTTAAACTTATCCCCTCAAAAGCAATAATATATACCAACTTCGAGCTTCAACATTTCTCATCAGTATTTAAAGAAAGAAAAAGGAAAAAAATGGAAATCTAGCTTGAAAAAGAAGTTTCTCTTATGAGTAAGCACSCTGGCTGAGCACTCCAGTAAAGTCTGGCTCGGTGCCTTTTGGTGGATAGCTGGCAGGGTCTCCTTGCTTGGCGGAACTGTACAGATGGCTATTGAGCAAATGCAACAGAGTATTTTTTTTAGGACTCTGCTTGTATCTGATATTAGAGGTTAATGGAACCGTGTCTGTAACTTGTACAGAAACTGAGAGCTGCCCAGCTGTTCAGGTTGTGTGAAGGATGAGAGTGCAAACCCTAGGCAGATGGAATGGACAGAGTATGGGTTGATCTGCAGATCCTCAGGGCAAAGGCCTATCCTTGGATACCAGACAGCACGTTCAGCCTTGTGGCAATGCACTACGTTGCAATGCAGTGATATGTTGCCTTATTTGTTATTAAAAGACTTGTAACAAATCTGATGGATTCCTAGGAGAATCTGGGAGGGTGGGGGAGGTGCAAGCAAAACGCAAAAAAAAAAAAAAAAAAAAAAAAAAAGTGGCACTGAAAAAAAAAACAGATTGAGAAAAAAGCTCATAAATAATAATATGCAGAAAGCAGTGCAGCATGAAACGTAAAACTGATGCCTTGCTCGTGATCTGGAGTCTGAAACCGCTTAACTCCACAGCTTTTTAGTATGTGCTCTCTTCGTTTACAATATAAATAGGGATCATCAATCTGGCTAGGAGCATATACTGAGTGTTCCCTTACTTTCAGGAGAAATGTTGTCCTCTGTAAATTGTCGTGATAGAACAGCTGCATGTTTTACGCTGCTCTGCGTGGGAAGATGCTATTATTTGTCAAGCTGTGCTGTGTTCTGAATCATCTGAGTATTTACCTACAGTAAAGGTTTTGGCTTTTCAGAGCTGATTTTGTTCAGCTGTCCTCCACGGATTGTACCACAGGCTTCACTGATAATCACTGTTGCTCGCAAGGAGCATCCCAAGCTTTTTGCAGCTGTATACTCCTAGAAGACTCCCAAGCAGTTGCACAGGAGAGTTCTGCACCTGCAGATCTCAGGAAATTTATGTATGAGGAAGGGAATTGCAGATAGTAAATTTAAAAGCATCATAGTACATAACTATAATGCATATTGATTGCTCACATTATAAAAAAAGAAGAAAGAAAAAAAGCCAATTTCTCCTTTCAAAAGGATGCTCTGGGACCCCTGCAGCCAACACAGAGACCTCAGCACTTCCTTTGCAAGTGTTTTGCAAAACATCCYAGTTCTCTGCAAACCTGCCTTCATGCTGCCCCTTTGCAAACTGGTTTGAGGTCTGCCAGCTCTTCAGGAATATCTGTTGTTAATGAGTAGCCAAGGATTTAGTCTGCATGTGTGGCATGGGATTTGTTATTGCATGGACAAGCTTCCAGAAGGAGCTTGTAGGCGCTCACCCGACGGGAGATGCAAGGACGCTTCCTTGCCCGCACAGAGCTCGGCCAAGCAGGCTGCTGAAGAAYGTCTCCATCCGCTGCCAGAGCGCTGGGGATGCCTTATCAGCCACGATCATCCATTGGAGATAAGCGCTTTCTGTGTGTCACAGGAAGCAACGTGGCATCCTGCCTGACTCACTCTGTCTCATGGAGCATAGGCTTGTTTTGTCTCTTGGGCTTCTGTTCTGTCAATGATTGGAGTGACCATGTCAGCAAATATTGTTACCCTAACAATTAATGCGTGTAACTCAGAGCGCACGGTAAAAATAGGTCCTAATTCAATGTTGGACCCAAAATTGCTATAAAATCTGTTTCCTTTTGTCAGCTCCCTCAGCGGCAATGGAGAGCCTCTTTTGCAGATGCAAAGAATGGACTGACTTTGTAAACCTGCCAAAATACTGAACCTTTTTTTTTTTTCCTCTTAAAACAATGGCAAATCCCAGCTACCTCTGTGTGGCTTCTCACAGCAAATGCAAAGGGAACATGACGTGCATACTGCTTGTCCTCACTTCTACTTCCACATGTGCTTGAGTGTTTGGGACAAATGCTGTGTGGGCCTCACTTGTGTGGGTTTCTCAAGCACTGCATCTTCAGGGCTCTGGTCATCACGGAGAACTTACCCGAGCGTAGCGTCTTTAGGTATTGCCTTCAGTGAGCAGTGGTTTAGGAGACCTGAATAGAGATAAAGCAAATTCTAGCTTTCAAGGACATGCAAAGAGAACCGAGGAAGCTTCCTAGCCTTAAAGTCATTGAAGTAAACCCATTTCCTCTTTCTATTTGAAATACAAATGTTTTTTACCTGTCCTCTCTGCATTCGAGTGTCTCGTATGCAACTTCTTTTCTCCTCGGATATCCCCAAATAGCARCCTCAGAAATGGGTGAGTGTGAAAAGCACAACAGAGTTATTTCTTATATGGTAAATTTGGCTCGCTGGTCCGTGATTCTAGTCTGTAAGAGCTTTGGGAAGTGTTGTATCTATAAGTAAGCATCTATAGATCAACTATCAAGTTAGCTTGAGTGGAAGACTGACTCACTGGTCCTGCTAACTTTGAGGAAGTTCTCGCACAGAACTTGGATTAAGAAAAAAAGAATCCTGCTAAAAAGTGTCTTGCTGGACTTCTACAGTAACAGATACAAACATCTGGGAAGCAGATCATTCCAAACAGTGGTCCGTGCATGGGGCACATGTGATGGCTGCGGCAGCTGAGCCACGGACTCGTAGCAGCACAGCAAAGGAATGGGAAGGCAATTCCAACCTAGTAAAGAAACTCTTGAAAATTAACTTTGTTTTGGAAATACTGCCTGATTGACTGWCTTGGCCTTTCCGTCTCTCTTTTCTGTTCTGTCTTTGAACATTGAGCTTTGAAGTTCTATGTCAACGCGGGAGAAGCAGATGGAGATAASCATCTATTTACTGACCTTACAGTGCGGCTAATGCATCTTCCTTTCTTGCTGTCTTTGTCAGTGAGCCTGAGGTATTGAGGACTTTCACATCCTTTGGCTAAAGTTGGATATCTGGCTAAGCAGGATTCTTGTCAGGGAAAAAGCAGTTGTGTCAATGGAGATAATTCAGGAAAGGGAATGGATGCCCTCAGTTGTGCGTAATGCCACTTTGTGCAGTATTGTCTGGGGATAAACCAAAGGGAGAAATGGTGCAAGCTGTTCGCTTTAAATTTTTATATCACAAGTGTTTGTCACAACATTTTGAAGAGAAAGAAGTGTACTCAGTGTTGCAGAAGCAAGCCAATAAATTCCTCTTCACAGAATCACAGAATGTTTAAGGTTGGAAAGGGCCTCTAGAGGTTTAGTCCAACCTTCCTGTTCAAGTAGGGACACCCAGAGCATGTGGCACAGGGYGGCATCCAGKTGGGTTTTGAAGACCTCCAGRGWAGGAGACTCCACAACCTCCCTGGGCAGCCTGTGCCAGGGCTCTSTCACCCTCACAGTCAAGAAGTTCTTCCTCACATGGAGATGGAACTGCCTGTGTTTTAGCTTATACCCATTTCCCCTTGTCCTGTCACTGGCCACCACTGAGAAGAGCCACTGAGAAGCCCCTTCCTCCCTACATTCTCCCTTCATTTACTTATACATGTTAATCAGATCCCCTCTCAGCCTTCTCTTCTCTCTTATTATATAAGAACCTCCGTCGTTACTAGTTTATACCTCAGCTGTAAAATTCTTGCTGGTTTGAGACTCTGCAGGCAAATTTGGAGCCAGGAGGGCCTRTCTGTCTTCAGAAATACTGAGGTCTGCTCTGCTTGAAGCAACAAGCTGCTACTGAGCTCGACATTGAGAGCCTGCAGCTTTGCCTTCCCCTGAACATGGAAAAGGTGGGTGGGGTTTTGATGCATTCATACAAGAAAGAAAGAAAGGGACGAAAAAAAAGAAAAAAAGAAAAAAAAGTGTGCAGGGGGAAAAAATTCTTTGGCCTCAGCTGCAGGTTTTGCAACTGAGCTGCCTTGCATTTGTTATGGGATTAAGCTGTAAATCCAAATAGGTTGTCTCGTTCGCTTCGCTGAAAGCGCTGATCCTAAATAAGCAAATTACATCACCTATCCTGACGTCCTGTTTAACTTGTGACCTCAGCCTGAGCTCTGCAGGATGTTGGAGACAGCAGCTTCATTTCACTGTCCAGAGATCTGATATCTATTTCTCGCCCCTCCGCCTCCTCCCCCCACCTTTCCCTGCTCTTTATATTTCCAAGGGACTCACCCTAGCTCTTGGAAAGGTGTTAGCAAGGAATTAAGAGGCGGTGGGGAGCAGAGAGGAAACCACCTTTTTGTGTGTGTGTATGTATGTGTGTGAAATTAGGTGCAAAAGTGTTATAATAGYTGCAGCAAATGTTTCTGCTTCGG